GTTGGTGCTACTTCGCCTGGTCACATCATCCGTAACATCTTGATCGGAATATTCTCGCTTTGAACCGTTTTTGTCTTATTGGCAACAAAGAGTAGCAGAGATGTACCTAATAGCTTCGCTGTGTCTTTATGTCTGTCCGCATATAACATTTCGATAACACTGGACCGACTTTCTTAAAATTTTTTATATATATTGGAGTTCAAGCCTACTGAAATGTGACAAGTAATTTAACTTTTTATAAAAGACTGGGGCAGAAGTAACGCGAAAGCCTACCCCGAGTTTCTTCGCAAACATTGAGCGTTATTCGGTGAGCAGTGTAAGTAAAGTTGTCCTTGTGCTTAACTAATTAAGCACTAGGCCATGAAGGCGTATGGGAGAGTGAATGCATAGATCCACATTTCCTTGACCTCGGTCCTAGCTCGAGATGAGTGGTCAGCTTCACGCCCCGTCCGCTTTACCCCCGGTACCCATTGGATAGGAGGTTGGGTGGACGCTAGAGCCAGTCTGGACTACATGGAGAAGTGAAAATTCTTACCCCCACCGGGACTCGAACTCCGACCACTTGGTCCTCCAGCCCGTAGTCAGTTGCTGTACTGATCTTGTTTCGAAGAGAGTTGTGCTGAAAACTGAAAACAGTTTAGTGCATAAGCCATTGTTTTCGATATAATTAATAATTGAACACAAGGTGATAACCCCCCCCCCACTAGTTATTTAATGCGTACGTTTCCTAACTTGTTTACCATTTCGGACATCATGCACGAATTAAAAGCTGTTTCGTTCTCTTTGCCGCCCAAGAATTTCCATACAGAGTTGAAATCGCGTATTTTGTATTTCTGCGTTTACATTTCAGCCGCTTATTATACCATGTACAATATTTTATGAAGTAGCATTACCATGAGTTCTCATATATCCTTTATTTTAAGATCGTGTTTGTTACATGTCTCGACATGATTGCTGCTACCGGTGAATTTGGATTTAATTTTCCTCGTCGACGTCAAATGTTCAACTGGTTTCGAAAATAACATGTATATTTAGTGTTTCTGTAAGTAACGCACGTTTAATGTGTCGGAAGGAGAAGTTTCGAACTAGATTACATTTATAAGATTTGAGGTTTTCACTGCGGTGACTATGAAGAAAGCAGTCTTCTGGGATGCGGCGCCGTGTAGATATAGTATAAACCGACGTTTCGGATGAACATGTCTCCATCTTCAAGGTTGAAGCAAAAAAATATCCGAGAGTGATTAACGAGGGTGAGCAGGTGGCTAACAGGTGACTAGCCACCTGGTCACGCTGGTTCCTCGCTCGCGGATTTCTTCTTTTTTATTCTACCCTGAAGAGGGAGACGATACGGTCCTCCGAAACGTCAGTTTATACTATATCTACACGGCGCCACACCCCAGAAGATGGCATTCTGGATTACATGTTTACAACCAAGATGCACGAAACGCGAAACATAACACATGCAGCATGCAGTGAGCGCATTCTGCTGGTGGTCTCCAGCAAAACAAGTTTTGACGTTTCTTTGTCAGATCTTGCATGGATGTATAACAGACACTTGCAGATCTGTTGCGATTGTAACAAGACGGTTCCGATCCGTCTCCAGTACACGTAAGAAGCAGGTACAAATCAGAACAATAGTTTCGCGGGTCACTTGGGGGGACTGACCACAGCGATGCGTCTTAAGCTAGTTGTTGACAGAGCTGTTCCGAAGACACTGACTTACTTATATGGAGGCAACAGGCCGTGATGGCCCATAGGGTTGTGAGACCGCGAGGTTGTTAGCCTTTTCCGGCCGCGTTTTACCCCCATGAAGATTCCTGGTACTTTGTTAGAGGCCGAGTCTACCACAGGGCCATAGTACGGCTGGAAGGATTAGGTCATTTGAAAAATCCACGTCATCGGGACTCGAACCTGCGACCTTCCAGCATGTAGCATTAGTGCCCCTTATTTATATGAAGAGAGGGAAATTCACTGAATTTTTATTCCGAATATTTGGTCCGTGCACGAAGTTCCTTGAGAGGTGCTGCTTATATTCGTCAACCTTGGGGGGGGGGCTACAAACTTGGGCTACTATTTTCCCTAAGCAGAGTGGTATTAAGTGATATTTTATTGAAACCTCATTCTTTATATTTTGACATGCACTCCATTGTTATGACCATTCGTGTATATGTTGCTTATTTTACTGCTTTGTGTGGTTTCTTTGGGGGGGGGAGCTTTTAACCACTCTGTAAATATTTCATGTGGACCTTTGTACTGGAGGTGTTGGTTGCCAGTATGGTCGGTTTACCACTTCCGGAGAGAGAAGACTTTTGTTGTATTCTGTACTCCCTGTGACATTCATTTGTGTATTTCCTGTATAGAGTCTGAACCCTATATTTGATAGAGCGGTTTGTTTTCTGCACGCCTGTGTGTACAGTTTCTCCACGAAAGGTATAATTTCAACCTGTCTCGGGAATTATCATGTAATGTTACAGACTTACTGTCGAAATTTGTAGAGTTTATGACTGAAATGTATATTCTTATCAGTTCAACAATCTGATATAATTATTATGTTTCTGGACATCGTCCATCGTCCTGTTCTTGTTTGAAACAACATTCCCGTGACTGGATTCTGTCTCCTTCAGGTGGAGCCTTCTCAGTTGGGCCCAATCGATGGAGCTAGTCCCTATCTCCGGACGATGAATATGTTCAGAAACAAAACAGTTGTATTAATATACCAAACGTTTAGAAGAATAAGCACGACAAAGTGTCGAGATATGCGTGTACAGGCTTCTGTGTTCAAATGACGTCTTTAGGGGGACGGTAGATGGATGTGGCGGGCTCAGGTGGTGACCATTTGTATTAATGGTGTGAAATATTCGGGTTCAGTATATCTTTATGCTTTGTGTCTGAATTTCATTTCATGTTCGTCAGATAGGCCCAATTTCTCGAGATCATAAAATAAGTGAATGCACGCGGATGTTCCTGTTTTGGCAGGTACACAAATAAGGATATTGGGCAAAGGTCTATTTCACGACCGCATGTGATTTTATTACTAGTGTACGTGGCTGTGTTTCGTGATTCTAATTGAATATTGGGTTTATGCACAGAACACTCACTTCAGATACATGATCAAGAAAGGTTCGAATGCGTGAGGAAGACGCAATTCTGTACATTTGTAACGATATATCCTACATCGATATATTTTCTGTAAATATTCCCAAATAATTTATTATCCTACTTCCGTATTTGCGAGGAATGTTTTACTAAGTCGATTGCAGATGTAGTCATGGACCTTTGGATTTATGTACCCTTGTTATTGTGTATTTCTTGTCTTCACAACTGTTTACACTTCAATTTATGCAAGTCATATCAAAGCAGAATGTCATATGGGCGTTTTGGGTGCAGTAAAAATGAGAACAGAAAGACTGGGAACTAGGCGAGTTATTACCGGTACAGCATTGAGGGCAGTCGTGGTTTCAGTGCTGGGAGTGCAGGCCTCTCGAAGATGCGCCACGGGAAGTTCCGTAATAAGCTTTGTCGTAATGTGTTGCTGAGGGCCCGACCACGAGTAAGCGACTTTGCGACAATGGACGGATGACTAGTAGATCCTAGGTAGATCGTCTATTGTACATCTCGCATAAGCCCTTGGAGTTCCTTATATTCTCACATAAAAGGAAATGTTAAGCAATTCCTTATATTTCCCAGTACAGTTGAAAGGCATATCAGAGAAGACTTGAGGCCAGTGCCCCTTGTCTAACCACCGTCACATGAAGTCACGTGAAACGAGCGGAGGTGATGCTCCCCGCACTGTAGACCTCGTCACTGGATGAACATGCGCGTTCCGTTCGCGGTGTGGTCACTTTGTCCCAGGCTGAAGGAACCCAGCTACCCCTAATAATTCGGGGCGAAGGAGGGGAAGGAAACAGTTCAATCCATATAACGGAGTGAGTGCAATATCACATGCAGTCTAGCCTGCAGAGTTTCTGCACGCAGCTGTTTACGTAACAAAATGTGGCAGAACAGATTTCCCCGTTCCTGCCTAATTCACTTCGTCGGTGTTAACAATGGGACTTCTGACGTAAGAGCAGCAAATGGCGTTAATCAACGAAGCACCCACCTAAAAATGCATATATTGTTCTACCTAGACCAGTTATCCGTTGAAAGTTAACCCAATACGCGAGTTCAGTGAAATCTGTTCCTGCAGAGGATGGGTACGAGGTATTGGCAGGAACGCATCGGTTGGGTGAACTGAAATTGTTCTTACGTTATTGTTAAGTACTGTGTGATTCCACCATATCTCGACTTCATAGTGACATTAGTATTTATTTTTTTTAATCAACGTATTGCACTTTCAAAGTAGAAAATACAACTGTATGTACGGGACATACTACTTCTATCTTCAGGATTGAAGATTAGGTGAAGCAAGCACCAGACACAACGTTTGCTGCTTGCTTGGTGTGCCTTTCAACTCTGAAAATGGAAACAGTACTCATTCTGTTCTCTGCTTCGTTGTTGCTGTCTTAGCACTCTCTTTGACGCTGATAAGAAGAGATAGGATGTTCCTCCGAAACGTCGATAAATTTCTATCACACTACACGGCATCATATCGTAGAAGGTGACACACCTCATCGTCACTGCCGTGACCACCTTAGATCTAAGAAGAAGACGGGGTTCATCATCAGCCCTGCGGTATTTCATGTTTTAAGGACGTTCGCTCACTGAAAACCAACCAAGAATCTAGGAATTTCTGTTAGATCCGTAGTTATTAAGAACAAGACGAGAGACAGCATTTCTGAAGTCATACAGCGAGACATGAGATATGCCTTCCAAACGCCAGCCCACAGCGTTGTTTCTGAATGGTAATCCGGTCTGTGAAATTGTGAACTGTATAATGCAATTGATTCAGCTTTCGTCCAGTGCCGCGTCACAGAATTAAAAGAAAACAGACTGACGTCTGCAGCTCGGCACGCAGCCGTGTATTACCACGTAACTACAATCTTTTCCTTTCTTTGTTTCAGGTGTTATTGTCCAGTGCACTTGTGGGCGCCGAGTACGAGGATGTTACAGTTGATCCAGGTCGCGCCATATTACCAGACACGACTGTCGCACCTGGTGGAGAATTCCTCTACGTCCTTTCAACGGCAAAGGTAGGAATTTTTTGGAAGATATTTCAAATTAATTTTGGGCTAACATTTGCAGTAAGAACAAAACAGATTTTCTCTCACATTTTACCCTTTGCCTTTAAACATAATAAGAGTCCTAAACTAAGTGATAGACAGTTATACTAGGGGCGGGGATTGGGTTGTGGTCCATGCGAACGCGCTAAGCGGTAAGAATGACGAACGGGACCTCAGAAGAACCATTCATAAACCATGGCAGAAGTTGAATACTGTGACATGTAGGCCCATTTCTAGGCAACGCCCCAAATACGCGAATGGAACAGTAGAACCAGTGTCGTAAGAGGCGTCTTCTGTATGGTTCACATATATCCATTGCTAGGCGACGGAGCTGTAAACACGCATTCTTGGCAACAGAAGACAGTATTTTCATTGGGTCCGTGCCCAGGAGTTATCTTCAAAACAGTGACGCTCTCATTAGATCCGTAATGACTTATGCTAGTCCCGCCTGGGAGTTTGCGGCAGACACCCATCTATTGAAATTGCAGGGTCTCCAGAACAAGGTTTTGCGCACCATTGATAATTTTTCAAGGCCGACACCGGTCCGTGATTTGCACATGGCGTTCATAATCCTGTACGTATATGACTGTATAACAAAAGTATGCAGACAACAAGCAGAAGTCATACAAAATCATGATAATGAGAATGTTCGCGACAGCGAATAAGGCGAAGCCCGACACAAAGTATAAGAGGCTTAAACCTGGCGCCGGTCAGGCATACGGCCGTTCAAGTGACTAGACTGCCGTGGTAGCGAATACTACTAGAAATAGGGCATAATCTGCTATACTGAGCCTGGATTGACAGAGGCCTTGTATTGTACATAGAAATAGGAATTAAGATTACATTTTAAGTATATGTAAATACTGACAGTGGACTTACTAATACGGACTATGACTGACAATTGACAGACCCGACTTTCGTCAGAGAGGGCGCCCCAAATGTACAGGACAGTAACTTTCATATAAGGAAAAAAAGAGAAAAAATATCTGGTCATGAAACCCAGCTGGGGCTCGACACCAAGACAGATTGATTGACCGTGAGTCGCAATGTGACTTTGACTTGGCTACAAGCAGTTGAGCTGAGCTGAGATGAGTTGAGGGTTCAGTTGTGGAGTGTTAATCAGCGGACAACGGAAGCTGAACAATGTCCATTGTTAAGAGTCGTTGCTAGGAAACGTCTAGTGAAGACACGGCAGAGGAGTAGCCATTGTGGGGAGCTGTTACCAAGAAAGACTAGTGGAAATAGACTGAGAAGGGTTAGTGTTGAATGATTTGTAGTGTGCATATCAGTAATATTGTTACAGTTATTTGTAGTTACGACCTGTAAGTGGTCAATAAATCTATTATCCAATCCAGACCCCTTCTAGAGTCACTAATACACGTGATAATATCTAAAAGGTTTATATTCCTCCGGGCTGAAACATGTAATTCGTGGCTCTTACTGTCTGAATCATGTAGAGAGGACTTCAGGCTTGATTTCTTGATAAATTGCAAGGCGAATATTAAAGAAATATCCTTGGGACAGTGACTTTCAATAAACGCGCTATAATTCATGCGAAACTTCTCTCCGAGAGTTCCTGCAGCCAGTACTGTCAGTGGAGTTCGTTTTTATCTTTCATGCAACATTGCTTCTAGTCCAAGAGTTCATCTATTCTCCTTTGTCATTCTCCTCTGTTCAGCTTGTGTGCGCCACACACCCTTTGTGATGTGGTAGAGGTGGAACTTTTGGCTTACAGGCACAAGAAAGGACACTTTATGTGTTTTAAATAAAATGACCCCGTAGGCCCTTAAGGGCATAACATTTTTCACGTGGAAAACATCTGCATAATCTCTTGTAGTGTATTAGCCGAAATTCCTGTGATGTCATAAGACATTTAAGGCTTTGTTGCATCGCTTCGTAAGTGGAGGGCATAACAGGTTGGCATAGCGGTAAGGTTCTAGACTCGTACCCAGGAGGTGCTCTGTTCGAATGTCACCTGAGACGTCGGCTATCCGGATTGTTTTCCATGGTTCTCCTCAATCACCCCAAGCAGATTCTGGGGTGCGTAATGCCTAGATTGGGCCCTACCTCTCCCTTCCAGTTCATCACCCATGTGTCGGCGCTGTGCAGGCAAGTAGTGAAAGTAGGCCGAAGTGGGACTCATGTGGTAACTTTATATATACTGCTTAATATCGCCTTAATACATGAAATGCCGGCTCCTCTTAACGGAACTAAGCAGGTAGGCCTAGCGGTAATGCTTGTGACTTCTATTTGAGAAAGAACTAGTTCCAGTTCGGTCCGAAGAAACTTTTTTTTTTCCCCCGGTGGATGGTTAAGTAGTTACCCTCAGGCCTTCCGAGTTGAATGTCACGAACGCTTCCCCCCCCCCCNATTCCATATCCGGCGTTCGTAATCAGCTGCAGGCTAACTGATGTACTTAACAAATAGTCGAGTAATGCGTGATCAATCATTTCGTTTCATAAGCACGGCAGTTGGGAACGGTGTATTATATAGTATTAAGAGCTGCAGTCTGTGCTGTGGCATAGATCTGAGACCCATCAGGAAAGGATGTTCGGCCACAAACAACATCGCCGGGGGAAAAAAAGGCATGAAAAATGTAACCGGCCTGCCTTCATGTTGAATAACAGTAAATGGAATTGATATTTTGGGATTGTCCTTCACGTGTTAAGGAATGTTATTGATCATTTGTAGGGAGCTGTGTGTGTGGCCGATTGTAATTAACGAATTGGATCTGGCGAAGAACCATTCTTATAACGGTCGTAGGGCGAAGAAATATCCCAGTTTTGAAACAGGCTTGAGCCACTGACTGCTGTGACATGTGAGAGTGGATGACATTGGATTAGTTTCGAGAGAAGCATGGGTTTCGAGGCGAAAATCGTTTGTTAATTATTAAATAAAACGCGATTACCTTATTATTAGGCCTATATTTTGTTTATATGTTTGCGTTATTTCGGAGAAAACCGAAATTAACGGCAATGGGGATTCGTTGCGCTGACGACGCGACACCCTCTATCAGCAAAAGTTGGCACTAACTTCGCCGACAAGCCGCGGTCGCTCGGTCGGTATGCTTCGCTTGCGGACTAAAATCACAGAGTTTTTGTTTGTTTTGTTTGCTTTATTTATAAAGTGGGTGATACTGGCTTCGGTTTTAAAAGGCACGTGTCACGAGGAAAAGATAATCTCTTAAAAAGTGACATTCTGAAATAAAATTAAATATCAAACAGCATGCAAGAGGCACGGTAGTTCACCCAGCCCCCGAAATATTGGTACTTAGAAAATATAAGCAACCATTAATTTAACTTTTTTTGTTTTCCTTTAAAATTTCATTCCTTTCAGTAAACGAGTCGGTTATTACCGAGTGAGAGTATCCATGCCATCCTGAGCCGGTTTGTGGCATAATTTTAGGAACGATGGATATGAAAGTAAAAAGGAGGCATTCTGTTTAAATTTTTTTTTGCCTTCATGCATTTAACATCATATGCTTCTCTTTTTAAGTCTTAATTTAGAATAAGTTAAATGTGGATATCATAATGTAGGTAAAGTAAAAAATAAAGCTATCCCTGTAACAGGCCGTGAAGGCCCATAGGGTTGAAAGACGTTGAGGGTCCCACATTATCTAGACAGTAGGCTCAAAGATGGCGGCAAGGTTGTCAGCCTTACGGGCCGGCCGCTCTTTACTCCCCAGGAAAATTATTTATTTAATTCCTGGTACTCATTTCTGTTAGAGGCTGAGTGAACCCCAGGGCCATAGCTCATAATGTAGGTAAAGTTAATAATGCATCTGCTCGCCACTTCCGTTTTAATGCAAAACAGAATCACAAATAATAATGCATAGTTCAACAATATAAACTGATTTCTCAGTACAACTGTATAGTGGCTCATAATCTGAGACAGTCTGAAGCGATATCCCATAGTAATACCAGCAGACGCTATATGAAAACCAATGTGTTCGGAAGTAGCAAACGTGCTGTCGAAACAGGAGTTCTGCTTTGTGTGAGAGGCCGCCTCTACCAGGTATGCTGTGCTGATTGAAAACGCATGGAGTGCGGTTCGGCCAGGAGGAAGCGTACCTCAGGTAGTTCCAGTGTTAATGTTTTAGTAATGTGTACACCACACGGCTCGTGACTTAATTTGGAACGGGTCTGCCGAGATGATGGTAAGCCTCTGAGGACTCCGATGAGAACAATAATGGTTTGCTGGCACAGAGCAGTAAACATCTGTGGTGCTAACAAGTGTAATTGCATAATGGATCGAACAGTGGACCGCTACAGAGCTGAGCACACCTGAGTTGGTTTACGAGGCAGAAACTGCTGGCCTGATTACTGGACTCTTCGAGGACTTGCCGGTAGCCAGGCTCCAGATCTGCTAAATACAAGCTCCCATATGACACACATTCTTGTTCATTTTGTGATTATAATTATTTGTATTAGTTCGGAGCTATGAAAAAATCATTTCCCGTTTAGGTGCTTTGACTTAACAACTGTAGTATATTGTGTTCTGTTCGTGGTCGCCGAGGTCCGCCATAAACGCAAGTGACTTGAGTCCCTTTGCTGCAGTGGAACTAAGAAAGACATCGAGTTTTTTTTTGAGTACCGTTTCCACTGGCCGCGCGGTCTAAGGCGTGAACTGTCATCGCTCGTTCGAACACTGGGATCGTGGGTTCGAATGAAACTCAAGGCATAGATGTTTGTGTTGTCCTGTGTGTAGGTAGCGGCCTTGCGACGGACTGACGGGCGGGGAGCTGCAGTTTGCCGAGCAAATTACTGTTACGATAATGCTGCAGAATTCTGTTCGGACTCTAAGCCTTTGAATCTCTGCTCATATACCCATTATCTCGACCGAAGCTTCTCATGGTCTTCCTCAGTCATGTCTCAGTAGCTTCAAATAATCGATTGCCATCTGCATCCGAATACTGGATGATCATAGGAATTCTAGATGAGATCTCCAGTTAAGAGAATTTTTTAAATTAT